GCTTATTTCGCTTCTTATAATACTTTCCAAGTCCACTCATGATGTTGCAAATAGTAAAAGTCCCAGAGACACAGAAGCAATGAACAGCCTATTGAACCTCGGAGGGAAGATGGGGGAAGGTGGGTGGGTAGGAAAAGATCAACCAAAGAGCATATATACATATACGCATAACCCATGGACATAGACAATAGGGTGGTGAGGCCTGGGTAGGGGGCAAGGAAAGGCTAGAAGAGGTCAGTCGGGGAAAAGGGGACATATATAATATTTTCAACAATCAAGATTTTTTTTTAATTTAAAATATTTTTAAAAATAACAGAAATAACCAAAGGAATCTACAATCTGGAGGTCCTTGGGAATCTTGATTAGGGCTTTCTCAGTAAAGTATAAGAAATGGAAATTTGAATGTCATTCCTGGGGGGAGCTTTTTCTCAGTTTCTTGAATAAATTAGCTCCTTTCTCATTGTACTTCCCATTTCTCTAGCTCTTATCATACAGATGACTCTAAAGAAAGTCAACTTTGAACTAAATTATTATCTATATAAAAGATCTAATTTGTGTAATTATTCATGTATTTTCTGTCTCCTAATTGCCAATAATTACTGAATAGTAGAGACCACATTTATCTTATTTTTCACAATGTCCTCAGTAACTAGCAGAATGCCTAATACATAATACTGCTCAATTTGTATTGAATGAATGGCTGTATAAATAAATCAATGAATGACCCAATATTACTGTATTTAAAACACATTTAAAACTGGCTTATTTTAACTAACACCCACAGTAATTGACATGCTTACTTTCAAGTTATTTTTTAAGTTTTTGGCATGAATAATAATTACTTTTATTATAGGCTACCTAAAATCATTTTGGAAGAAGTAGGTAGAATAAAATTAGTAAACAGTTCATTTTTCAAAATAATAAACAATATCTCTACTCCAGAAGGTCATTTTAGCACTCAATATAAATTTGATTACCATCCAGTCCTTATTAAAACCCAGTAGATACCACTGATATTTGGGAAAAGAAATCCATGAATCAAGTTAAATGTCCATTGCTCTAAACTGATTTTTAGCTTTATTCTGTTATAAATGAAATGACCAAATATCTTATTTGAATTGCATTTGCTGAAATTACATTATAGAAGTAGTGGGCATCTATTATTATGTCTTTGGTCTTTATAGAGGGTTAATAAAAAATCATATACTGAGAATATTTCTGAATCTTCCAATGAAGACAATCAGACATTTCTTACTTAGTGTTCAAAATAACTTATATGGTAAATTTCTTTGTAGTGCAATATAGTGTGTGAAAAAACTTCATTTGTATATTATTTCTGATTAATATGTATTTTTACTTTATCTGAAAATCAAAATTTGTCCTTTTGACCTTGCTTCTAGGAAATTGGGTTGTACATTTCTCTTTAATTCAGTAGACAGTCATTGCCTGTTTCTGTATCTTTTCTCTGCAATATATTATTCTATTTAAATCTGATTTTAGCAATCTATATGCAAATAGTTGTCACTAATTATCTTCACTTTTTTTAAATACAAAGAACATGAATAAATAAATGGGAAAAAATGTCCTTCTTTCTTCCCTTTTGTTAATAGCAGAGATAATCCACTCTCTTGGTCTTGCTCAAATAAAATCATTTCTATGGAGACATTTTTTACTTTTCAAACACAAACTGACTCCCTTTCCTATATTCCAAGAAAACAGTTGAATCATCTTATAGAATTTAAGTATATATTAGTCTCAAATATGAAGTAACATTGAGAATTTTTTAATGTATTTATTTGTTTAAGGATTTAGAGACAGACTAAATCCTTAAACAAATAAATACATTAAAAAAATTCTGAATGAAAGGTTACAGAGGGAGCTCTAAGATAAACCTGAGACAGTGAAGCTAGCAGGCCAAGCCTTGTAGCCCCTTAACTTCTTACTCAATCTTATGAGCAATTTTTAATAATTGCTCTAATCACTACCAACAGCATTTCCCATGCATTAATAGTGACAGTCCATGTTTCCACTTCAAAGGAAAGCCCAAAATGCTTTTGGTTGAGGAACTGATTCCAAGCTATTCTCAGCTTCTTCAGAGCAATGATGTCACAGGAGATATTTTTATTTGCAAACTATTTCTACTTTGTAATAAACAAAATATTTTTTCTTAACACAACATGTTTTAAACTGACACCATGCTGCTGGATAGCTGTCTGAATTTTATGACTAAAGCATTATCACATTTTTACTTATTGCTAACACAAACAAATAACAAAACAACCCTGTAAATGCATCTCCTCTTGAAAGAAATATTCAAATCACTACTAATTACATTGCCTTTTTTAGACAGTTTGAGTTTTTTCTGTCAATCATCTCAGAGCAATGGTACCATAATTAGCCAATTTGTACATTGGACCCAAAACTCATTTCCCTCACACCAAAACATTCAAGTCAAAACAGAGCCCAGGATCTTCTCAGATGTGAGATCAATTCTTATTTTTACTTGATTCATATTTTTACTTGATTCCTAGTGCAAACAAAGAGCGATGCTTTTGGGTCCGAGAAACCTTGGCTTACCTTGTTACTGTTAGACACATTGTGAATGACAGCAACTAAAACCCTACAGCCTTTATTGTACTCTGCCAGCTGAGCTGTTGATCTGGCTGTGGTAAACCACCCAGGCGAATTGTGCTGAAATAAATGTTCTGAAAATTTCTTTCTCATGAATTGATTCACTTAAATATATTTTCATAAAGATCAACACATATTTTAGGAAGAAAGTGACCAGAATATTTCAATTCTAAAACAAGTATTTCCAGATGCCTCTAAATGTGTTTAAGAGTCTTATATGCTTTGATGTTGAGAGGAGATGTATAAAGGACAACTGATTTGTAGTACTGATTGTGAGGAGCCAACTGATATTAAACTCTAAACAAATACTCAACTCTGGGGAAATTATCCATCATCAACACCAACAACCACTTGCCATTTTTCAGACCAAAAAAGTGATTAACTGCTTCATGGTTTAGCTGGATAATCTGTTGTCCTTCCACTCAATCATTCTAAGTGTGCATTTAAAGTCAGGATATCAGCATGAACATAAGATTCAAATCCAATCAAAATCAGGTCCTCATCAGTTCTAATATATAAAACTATGGCACAATGTACATTAACATGATGACATAGTTCATTTGATGAAATCTTACTTCATGTTTAAATGATATCATAAAAAGGCAATATAAGATTTGGTCAAAATATTTTTTAAACATCATCACACACACAGGCACACACAAACACAGCTAAGTGGATGTTCAAGTCCTTAAGAATACTCTTTGTAACTTCAAATTGCAAATTAGCAACCTTATCACTGCATCAAAATTTAGAAACCGAGAAATCCTAAAAAAATATGAAATAATAATAAAAATAACTGAAAATAAATAGCACTAAAATTAAAATTAAATGTATTCAAATTATTCATGATTATCACATTGAAATGTTCCATAAGAAACAAATGACACCACCAAACTATTTAAGAATTATTACGACCATCTCTATAAATCTTCTAATATACAGAGTTTTCACAGAGAGGAAGACATTTAACCCTGTCCACTGAAATTATAAGAACATCTGAAGCAACCATAATTAGATACTATGGAGGAAGTAATGCATACTGAACAAAGCTATGAAAATAATTTATATCTACATTGATACAATGTATCTATTATATCATCCTTGATGCTCCAAATTTAAAATAGAAAACTAGAAAAGGATCAAGATTTCAACTTTGCATGGCTAAAATATCTTGTTCTTCAAAACATACAAATGATTTACAAAAATTATTCTCTTTTTATATTTTGAGAGTAGTATAAATGTAAGATTATTATTACACAGGAGTTAGAAAATTAATAATGCCAATGAGGAAAACAATTGGTTTCTCAATGGCTTAAATATATAATATTAACAATTATTATAAAAGGCAATATAATTGAAATTGATTTTTTAAAATATTTTAGAATAAAGAATAAAAAAGAAAGGTGCCTCTTTGTGTCAAATAACATTATAAATTATACCTACTTAAGTGTACAGTATGGAATAAGACTTTGAGAACAATGAAAATTTAAAAAATAAAATCATTTTTGATAACTTGTACCATTTCAGCAAATACTAAAATACTACAGATTTATTGAATTACATAATAATTTTACTTGTCAGATTGTGATAATACTAAAATATATTAAATTTATACAGGTAGAATAGCATAGCAAGTTTATGTTTTTAAGTTGGTTATTTCATAAAACAACAGACTTGCTTCAGAATACTTAGTTATTTTGCAAATAATATTTCTCTACGGATATCTTCAAACCAATAATGTCCACTCTGATTTTGCTCTATATATACACAATTATTTAACTGAACATTTTGTCACTTGATAAACTCAATGCATGTTTTTCAAATAAAGTGATTTAAACAAATACATTTAGACAAAATATTTCTAATTATTATGACATACTATAAACAAAACAAATCTACACCACATTGGCAAATGATTTTGTCACAAAGCCAGTCTACACATATATTCTTGAAGATGATAAAAACGTGTTTCTAAGCTCAAAGAAACTTCTGGGAATTTTTTAGCATTGTAAAAGAGAAAAGGAAAGGAAAGGAAAAAATTGCAAAGAAACTAATTCTTCTTCAGAAAGGTCCTGCCATTGTTACTTTACAGAGATCTACAAAGCCAAACCTGCAATGCCAAGAACATTCCTCAACAAGGCAAAGACTTTCATTACCTTTTACTTTTAAATCTTAGACTCAACCCTATCTGTCCTTCACCTAGTAACTCATGAACATTTTAAACTGTATTAAAAATATCAGAAATTTTGGTTCGAACAAGTCAATAAGCATAGAATAATGAATGAAACAAAGCAAAGCATAACAAAAGCCAAAACAAAACTATCACATATTTCATGGATTAATGGTATTTAAAAAAAGAGATTTCTTACCAAGTACCCCAAGTCGGTAGTTGACTGTGATGACGATCACATTGCCATAACTTGCCAAGACACTCCCATCATATAAATTTCCAGTACCTTCCATATAGGAGCCACCATGGATATACACCATCACTGGTTTAGGACCCCCACTGTCCCGAATATCTGAAAGAACAAATGTTTGGCAATTGTTCTTATCCTCAAAAAAAAAAAACATATAATGAAGCAGAGAACACATTTTCCACTTTAGGGACAAGAGGTCATGGTGTTTAGTTATTTAAATTGCTGTTTTTGTTAAAGTGTTTCTTAAGCAACTCTTCTTAAGAGCTGTTGCAGAAAAGAGCAATATCCATTTTTTTTCTATCTAAAATTTTGTTTAAAGCTATAAACTGAATTACAGAACTTAAACCAAAGAAAATTAGGTGTGAGTTTTAGTGTTGTGTGATGAATTTCTAATGTGACAATAGAACCAAAAAAATATATAAGAACTACTTTTTAAAAATGATTATAGACCTCAAATAAAATGTGTAAACCATAAACTAAGGCCAAAAGTATCACTTCTATTGTGACTAAAACACTGTTTCCATTTTTGATAAATGTAAATATTTATATTGGATGCATCATAATTACACTGAATAATTTATGCTCCATTTGTGAAGATAATTACAACACTGTATTATATGTGGTAAAAAGTCTCATTTCGCTTCTCAAGGACTATCAGATGCATGTGTAGGCAATAAATGCGTGTATTTCTATACTTCTGTTGTTGCATTTATAGGATTATAATTTAAATAATATATTTCAGTTAACTCCAGGTTATCTGCTCTTTATACCTAGCCTTACTCTTTGTAAAAAGGAAACAGATTAAAATATACTTTTCACCTCGTTATCTATTATACTATTCTTATCTCCACTTTGGCTCTATGATTTTGTTATGCAGACATGAGGAGGATACACCTTAGTCTAAATGTACAGTGCCAATATTTAAGGTGATGAAGTGATTTCTGCATCTCTGAAATTTAATCAAATGTATTTTCTTTTCTAAGATACTTTCTTAATTATGTAATTTTCAACAAGGACCAAGAAATAATAAACAGGGTAGGGCAAAAGTAGGTTCACTGTAGCAAATACATAAAACACAGAGTTTATTCTTGTGTTATCATTTATTAAATATTATAATATTTACAACCTACTGTAAACCTACTTTTGCCATATCCTACAAAAGAAAAACCTAAGAAAATCTAACTATTATAAAAAATAAACTAATTTCTATAGAAAACATGCTAAATTTTATATTGGCCAATATGGTTTTAACTATTGTATAGATAGAAACATAACATATGTATATATGAATATATACATATATGTATATGAAATATCATTATTTTATGATATTTTATATACATATATAAAATATATGTATTTTACAGATATAAAATATTATTATTACATAATAGCTCATGATCTCTTTTACCCACAATTGAAACAAAATTGTACCAAATGTGCTATTTTTTTTTTAATTTCAATATTAAAAGTGTCATTGAAAAGTATGGTTTTATTCCTTTATTTTTGACACTTTTTATCAAACTTAAATCTCCTACATATTTATTATTGAGGTTTCAGCTTCCAGAATGGGATATGATACAAGCTCATTGAAAAAATAGTAATGATTTAGAAGCTGCTTTATATTTCTGTAAATATATTTAAACTATATAAATCCTGACTTGTCTATTGGAACAATCTTCCCATGAAAAAACATCCTAGGATCAGGAATTGCAGCTCAATTTGTTTGTTCACAATCTCAAGTGAGGGAACTAGCTCATTGCAGAATTCAGAAACTTTTTAAAAGGACTGTTATCAATTTGACTGAATACCAGTGTGTAAACTTGCACCAAGGGTGCACTTGAGAAGAATGTCTTATTTTTAAGTGGTGAGAGGGGGATTCTTTGACATAAAAACTGTCCACTAGACACAGCTGCATTTAGGAAGAAAAAACTAACTTACTTTCTTCTTAAATCCTTAGGAAGGAAATTAATATTCACCCATTTGCAAAAATTTGGGGGCATATGGAGTTGCTAAGTTTACACAGAGAAAATAACCCTTTTAAAAATTTTAAACTACCCTTCTTAAATGCCCAGTTGCCGCATATTGTTTTAGCTTATTTTTCTACTATGGCTGGCGCTGAAGAAGCAATAATAAATTATTAAACTGAAATCATTAACTGACTGCTCACAGCAGACACTGTACTCAGCTAATTGTGTGCTGGGAGGTAGCACAGAAGGTGGCTGTTTCAGAATTCTTCTTTAATTAAAATTACATAGACTTACAAAACACCAACTGTGAACAGTAATGAGACCTTGGTAGATCCATTCTGTTCACCTGGAAAACAATACAGGCACACTTTCAAATACCTGCCACATGTTATACCTAATAACAGGATGGAATGGACATTGCCAAGGAAGACTGAAAATATGATATAGATTCCAGGAGCTATTTTGAGTGGTATTTCTCTCTCACTTTTTAATTAGATCTGAAAATGATAGTGAAAGTTTGGATTGATTCTAAGTGTTTTCAAATTTCTCAAAGATTTCAGCTTTGCCTAAGAATATATTGAACAATTCTTTTCCAGGAAGTGCGATAACATTTGAATGCAGTGTTCTGAACAATATTTCTTTTTGCTTAAAGTAGCCATGAAATTAATGTTGTATAGGGTATTAATGACCAAAGTAGGTAAAATTATTGTGCATAAAAAAACTCTTAATATTGCCAATAAATTTTGGGGAAATGCTGACAATTAGAATTCTATGATAATATTTAATCAGAGTGGTCTTAGATTTGCATCAATAGAAGTTATCAGAGGCCTATCTTAAATTTTACTTTTCTCTGTAAGTTTACCTGTGTTTTTTATTGTAATAATAAATATAAATAGTCTAAATGACATCTGAATTTAATTTTGAAAAGAACCAGAATCTTTATAAATGAAACTGATATATCAGATAGTACTATTAAGTACTATCTGCTAATGCCATCATTTTATTTATTTATTTTAAAATATATATTTTTATTGATTTCATAGAGAAAAGGAGAGAGAGAGATAGAAACATCAAATATAGAGAATCATTGATTGGTTGCCTCTTGCACAATCCACACTGGGGATTGAGTCCACAACCAGGGCATGTACCCTGACAGGCAATCGAACTGTGACCTCCTTGTTCATAGATCGATGCTCAAACACTGAGCCATGCTGGCCAGGCAATGCCATCATTTTAATAATAAAATTTTTATATTTTACTATGTCATAGCAAATATACTAGATATACTTCAGATATTTATACTTTCTTAAAGTCAATTTGTCCTTCCAAACCTTGTTTCATATTTTTCCCTAGAAATAAGGTAGATTTCACCTAAGATTTCTAACTGTACCTAAAAAGCTGCTCCTGACTTTACTAAAATCAAATGAGCACACTTAGGCATGAAAACACTAGCTCAGGTCCACTAAAGCTACAGATATTCTGAAAGCATGTTCATATTTAATGTTTAATTTTTTTACAGCTTTGCTAGGCATCTAGGTCCCTGAAAATAGTTAGATATTAAGAGGGAAATACTACACTGATAATTACTTTGGAATTTCAGTAACACTTTGGCTGTAAATCTGAGTATTTTACCTTTCCAGTTAATCAAAATTGAAAGACAATTTAATAAGTTATCTATAGATCTAGAAGACAATGAGGATATTTTTGTGCCTGATAACCAGTGTTTGGAATCACAATTCTTTTTAATGATCCTAATGAATAATTATTAGTCATACAACTTCTTCAATATGCTTTACTGGTTAATGAACTCATGAAGTTTTTAATTGCCCATGTTTTAGAATTTTTGGCATTTACCAGTTTTACATATTGGGGTATTGCCTCAATTGAGTCTTTGCCTGGCCCTGGCCAGTGCTTCTAGGTGGTTAGAGTATCAGCCAAAGCACCAAAGGGTTTGAGACCTGGTCAAGGGCACATACCTGGGTTGCAGGTTTGATCCCTGGCAACCAATTGATGTCTCTCTCTCACATTGATGTTTCTCTCTCTCCCTCCCTCCCTCTCTTTCTTTCTCAAAAAAAAAATTCTTTCTCTGATATATTTAAAGATATTTTAAAATATTTTGTGCCCCCTACTTATTTTGTGTATCTCAGTTATCACTTAGAACTAGTAAAATGATATAGAAATGTTGGCAGAATGTGTGCTTGTATAATTGTGCTTAGTCAAAGATATATATTTTCATTTAAAAATACTGAAAAATGACAACAGCAATTTTTAAAAAGCTCTATGTAAGATATAAAAGTATCTTTGGCTGAAACCGATTTGGCTCAGTGGATAAAGCGTCGGCCTACGAACTGATCAATTCTGGGCAAGGGCATGTATCTTGGTTTTGGGCACATGTCCAGTAGGGGTTGTGCAAGAGGCAGCTGATGGATGATTCTCTCTCATCGATGTTTCTAACTCTCTATCCCTCTCTTCCTCTCTGTAAAAAATCAGTAAAATATATTTTTAAAAAGCATATTTGAATATTAAGATATTAATATTAATGTATTAGCACAATTTAAAAACATTATTAAATTCCAAAAATAAATTGATAGACATATAGAGTGTTGCTTTGATTCATTTTTATCATTTCAAATTTGTCCTTTTGAAACCATAGAAATAGACTATAAATTATACAGTTCTCTTGGTTACTATAAAACACAATTGTTTGGCCTAGCAAAGGAAAACTAATAATGGAAAATATGTAAAGAAAACTTTGAAATAAAGAATAGTGCTCCAAGGAGGCGTTGGGTTATATTTTAAATGAATGAGGGGCAGACCCACTCAGTATGTCATAGATTGCCTCTGAATGCAGTGGCTGAGATAGAGACCTGGAAATCAGGTAAAGGAGTCAAGTTGTCATGAAATAATTGAGAATTCCATATAAATAACCAGGTAAATAAACTTCTCACTATAGTGAAAGAAGTAGTTTATCAAACAATTTATACTTATTGCTTTATGTCCAGTAATACTGATCCGATATTTAGAACAAATAAAGGTAAAAACTGGCCTTGTTAACACTCATGTCGACAAAATAATTATAAAAGAAACTAAATAGAAGATGCTGATATTTTAAACAAAGATCTGTATCCTAAA